AGCCGGCCCCCGGAGCTGCCTCCCCGCCACCACCACCGCCCCCTGAGGAAGACGAGGAAGCCGTGCCCCTGCTGGGTGGGGCGCTGCAGCGCCAGATCCGTGGCATTCCAGGCCTCGATGTGGAAGCCGACGATGACGAAGAGGGCGGCGGGGGCGCCCCATGACTTGGACCCGGAGCGGGCAGGGCCCGCGCGCCCGAGGCTAGAATCCGAGCCTAATAAAGTTATTCCCATCCCACCTCCTGGTTTGTTTGTCCGTTGCCGTCGCGGGCGGGAGCCGAGACGTCGCTGAGGGGCGGGGGTGCTCGCACACCGGCGGCGGGGAGGAGTGCGCCTGCGCGCAGTGAGGCATCGCGGCCCTACCCAACCTCCCACGATGCTTTGAGCGCGGAGCCGGAGCAACCGGAAGGCCCTCTGTGGTGACGGGGACGGGCCCGCCGTGAAAGCCAGCCAATAATAGCGCGCGGAAGGAGTGACGTGCGCACCCGGTCTTCCATTAGCGGACGGCGGGAGGTTCGTTGAGCGCATGCGTCCGGTGGCAGCCTAGGAAAAGGGGGCTGCTGGCGGGCCGAGCCGAAGACATGGAGCAGGGCTACGGAGGTTGGTCCCGGCGGCCCAGTGCGGGGTGGGGAGAGCAATCGCTGCCCCGGGTACGCCACCCAGAGGGCGCGGGCTGGGGCCTACGCCCGAGTGCGGTTACCACAGTTCGGCCGTCCCGAGAGGTGGCCGGAGCACGCGCGCGCCGCTCATTGGACTGCGGCGCCGTCTCTCTCATAGTGCTGCGTGCCGATTGGCCGGCGGCTCCTGAGGAGGTGGGCAGAGCCCAGCGAGCCAACGCTGCGGCGGGCTTTGGGGGGCGCCTTGGGGCGTCCGGTATGTTTTTGCCCCTCGGCGCCGGTGAGGCCGCCCGCCCTGCCGAACGCGCGGGTGCCGGACCCTTCTTTCCCTTCCGAAGACGCCACAAAATGGCGGCGCTGGGGGCGGAGCCAAGGCCGGAGCTCGTGGGATGCGAGGCCTTTTTCCCCGGCTGAGGGCCTGTCCCCGGACTTGCGGGGCTTGGCGGGGGCCTCAGCGCGGCGCACGTTGTCCGGAAGGCCAGTCTCGGTAGACCTCCGGGCAGCGCGGGGTCAGACCTTTTCCTGCCACCCCCGCGCTACAGGGCGGCAGGGCCTCGTGCGGCCTCTGCGGGGCTCATCCTCGCTGAGACTCAGTCTCACGGGGCGTGTGCGGTGGACCTGGCTCCTGCCAGCCTAGGATGAGACCATGAGTCAGATGCTGGGTTTTTCTTTGTGCAAAGCTGGAAATTCGACGTGCCCTGAGGTAGTGGCAGATTGGTGCTGGTTATCTTTCAGCCGATCCCTTATGGTGGCGCGGAGGTGCTGGGGACTGTGTAAAGAGGGAATGTGCCCTTTCCCCGTTTGGGCTGCAGGGCCTGCGGTAGAACGAACCTTCTTAGGGAAACTGTTCTTCGTTTTGAGAATCAGAGCCTCCTGGGAAGCCTTTGCTTTGTGTCGGGAGCCGAGTTTGCAGGGAACAGTTGGAATATGCAGAGTGATGGGGTTTGATCAGATGCAGATTCCTATCCAGGTATATGAGGTTCAAGAAGCAGGCGGTCTGATCATGGCTGCAGCAGTTAGAGAAGGTGCCCATCTTGACAGGTTGCAGCGTTAACAGGACCCGGGCCACAGGAATTGCAGAAGTAGGCCCCGAGGTGCATGCGAGGTGTCTCCAAAGGTTGTGGGGTGGGTCAGCCTGGCTCTCTCGCCTGACTGGGTCTTATCATTCTTTTCCTGACTTCCCACCAGATCTTTCAGCCAGTAATCCTGCTCATTCTTAAATTGGAGAGGTTTCCCACACACAGTCTACTTGCTAAGAACTTTTCATGCTCAGTTTAGATGCTGTAGCTTCCCTGAAGCCTGTAGCTTTTCCACCTGGACTTTCTAGGACTCGTTGAACCTTGACAGTTGCTCCCTGACTCATTCCCCAGCTCCATGATCTTGGGCAAGTGACTTACCCTTTCAAGTCTTTACAAAGGGAAAATAGTACCTACCTCAAAGGAAATTGTGAGGTTACGTGAGTAGTTTGTGCCATTTTGTTAGACCAATTCCCCTACAGCTGGTCACTTGCTGTTAGAACCGCTTTCTGCCTCTTTTGGCACAGATGTGGAAGACTGTGTGGCCTTGGGAGGGTATACCCTACGGGCGACAAACTTAAGTATAACTTTGGATCAAGTCCTCTAACCTCTAAGCCTTAGCTCCCTGTTCTTGAATGGCATTCGTTGACACTGGCTAATGTGTGCACAGTGCCTGTGATGTGTCAGAACACATTAGGCATTCGGATAGTGGTTTGGGTTGTTCAGATAAGGGAGACAGGGTATACTATATTCTTGATTCATAAAGATGTGGATGGCTGCCTGTGCCCAGCCTTGCCAGGCTCTAGGAATAGAGACAAAGAGGGAGGGGACCAGGCAGATGCTGTCATGGGAGTCTGGAGAGGCAAGGGGAACATCAGAGGGGTGTGCAGCCTGATGCCTTAGAGCCAGGCTAAAACCTAGGGGAACGTTGGAAGGTTTAAAGCCACATGGAAGTGAGGCCTAAAGAGGCACAGTTGTCTCCAAATTCCAAGTTATGGGGTTTCCAGTTATGGTGCATTTATGGCTGCTTGGTTGGTGAGCCAAGAAGTAGGGAATGGAACTGTCCTAATAATGGGCTTGCTGGCAGCTCAACCTGTGTCACGTTCAGCTATTGATTGAGGCTTAGGCCAAGGTCCCCCAGCCTGCAACTAGCAGAGCTGGCTCAAGGCCCATTCCCCTCCTCTCTTTTTTCCTGTTTGACATCAGGCCAGTGGAGTGTGATGGTGCAATCAGCCAGCTATGGGATGACATATAGGGGGCAGTGTTGTGGTATTCTGCTTTCTGGTAAGGCTGGCACTGAGCTCCTTTGGAGAGATCCCTTTAAGGCTCCTCAGAGTTGCTCTGAAGTAAGTACCTGTTCTCTGCTACGACACATAGGATTCTAACTCAGGTTTTCTGTTTATAGGCTATGGGGCATGGAGTGCTGGACCTGCCAACACCCAGGGTAAGTGGGACCTGCTTTTTGGGGAGACATGGACTCCTGCAACCCCTGACCCAAGGCACCAGCATGACAGCTGCACTGGGGGACAGTAGATTGTAGCCTGGAGAGGCTGATTAGGGATAGGGGCACTAGGGCCAACCCAGGGACCAGGAAACCATTTCTGTAAAGGGCCAGATAGTAAATTTTTTAAGCTTTGCAGGCTATGTGGTCTCTGTAGTACAGAAGCTACCATGGACAATTTATAAGTGAATTGATATGACTGTATGCCAATAATAATTACTGAAGGACACTGATATTTGCATACCATATAATTTTCACATGTTATGAAATAGTCTGTTTTAGCAATGTGTTTATTCTAGATAAGTAGCTGAGGGTGAGTAAAGGAATTTTTTAATTAGTTGACTTTTAGATTTGTAAGATTGAGCAGATAGTTTATAGAGTTCCACATGTTCACCCTACTTTGATCTCTGCAGTTTTCATTGTTGTTAACATATTGTATTGGTAGGATATGTTTGTTACAATTAATAAGGTAATGTTAATACACTGTTATTATCTACAGCCCATAGTTTATGTTAATATTTATCCTGTGTTGTATAATTCTATGAATTTCGATAAACATGTATAATTCTATGAATTTCGATAAACGTGTAATTGATGTGTTTCATGTCAAAATGCATATGTCATGAAACTTTTTTTGGATTTTTTTTTTCTTCAACCACTTAAAAACATAAAACCTATTCTTAGCTTGTGGGCTGTACAACAACTGGCGATGGGCTAGATTTGGCACAGGGCCTATTTGCTGACTCTGCTTTGGAGTCCAGATCGTGCTGCTAAGGACTAGAATGTGCTCTGGTTGCAAAATTTTTTTGCTTTTTGTGGCATCTGTTCCAGGGGATGGGACGAAGACTTCCTTAGTTTCCTAAATCTGGGACTTGCCCCGACACCTTTGGGGAGCAGGGTCACTTCACCACCCATCACCAAGTTTCCCAGGAAGAAGCCTTCCATGTTTCTCGGGCACACAATGTCACTTTGCTCAGTTGAATTGGGGACATGATTTTCCACCAATGCATTCTCCCTGTTTTTGGCAGTGCCTTAGCTCTGGCTCATGGTGAGTGCTGGTACTTTTTAAGGGCTCTGCCTGGAGACCTGGCGTGCTGGCCTCTTGGCCAGTGGCCCACAATGGATGAGCTTCCTGGGAAGGCCGCAACATCCTTTCCATTGCCCTGATGAGGATATTGGGTTTGCCTAGGAAAGAAGCTCTGATTATGCTTAATTGAGTGCTCTGTAGGAAATGAGTTTTACAGCTAGTGGGCTCCAGCCTTTCCTGGCCTCAATAGGCAACCAAGGGGTGCCTCCCGGAGCATTGCCACAGCCACTCGTAGCCCTCTCCCTGTGGATAGTGGAGTAAACTGTCCTTCAAAATTGAGGTGAGGCAAGGGTGTCTCAGGAGCCTTCATTATGCAAATGAAGCTCTTATGTGTTTTTGTTTCCTCTAAGGTGCATATGGAACTAGTGTGGCCAGCTGGCAAGGTAGGCCCTTCTGGGGGTCCATGGGTGGGCAAGAGGGCCTCTGGTCAGCCACCCAGAGGAACTGGGATGCAGGGACCCCATCTCCCTTCCCAACTGTGCTCCTAGCTCTCCTGAAGGCTCAGCAGGCTGGCCTCAGGTGCTGAGGAGGCCTCGAGGGAAATTTGCAGGGGAGGCGGGGAGGGGGTCGTGCTTGTGTTCTGGGAACAGTAGCTCCATGGTGGGCTTGTCTACAACCTTAACTGCCACTACTGGCTCTCAGCCACCTCTGGCTTTGGATGGGAAACATGTCTTAAGATTTGGCACAAAAAACCCCACTGCTTAGAGTTGAGGCTTTCCTCTTGTCCTCCTGCTGCCCTTGTGAGCTGTATAGAGATAGTGTGAGTGAGCAGTGTGGGTGATGCCAGCTGTGCTTGGTCCCATGACCCCTCTTCCTTTTCTATGGGCAGTGGGTGCTCACCCCCTATATGCCTACTGGCCTGATGGCTGCTGAATTGGCTCTTCCTCTCTCTGGCAGGTTATGAAAACTACAATTATTATGGTGCCCAGAACACCAGCGTCACCACAGGAGCAACCTACAGTTATGGCCCAGCCTCGTGGGAGGCCACCAAGGCCAGCGATGGCCTGGTGGCTGGGGGCCCTGCTATGCATATGGCTTCTTATGGCCCAGAGCCGTGCACCGACAATACTGACTCGCTCATTGCCAAGATCAATCAGCGTTTGGACATGATGTCTAAGGAAGGAGGCAGGGGCGGGAGCAGCAGCGGTGGGGAGGGCATGCAGGACCGGGAGAGGTGATTATGGACCTGGGCCCTTCCCTGGGGATCCCGTGCAGATAGGAGTGGGCACCCGCTCTCCCAGGAGCTTTGGGCTTTTATAATAGGACTTGCTGTTTTTCTGATTGGTGGGTCTTAGGGCATGACTATTGCAAAACTATGCCAGACTTTTTATTTCTGCACCAGGCACCTAGCAGAGCCTCCCCGTTCTTGTGGCCAAAGGCTCATGCCTCTCATTCATCAACATACGGATGGGAGTATTGGTTTGTTTTGCCTCTCTGAGCATTTAGGAGAGGTACATGGTGGTTTGGTTTGCTTTACTGTTCTGTGTACAGGGAGGTAGGCTTTGGAGGAGGTTTTGAGGTCGTATCTAGAGCATATAGTGACGATGTGCTTTCTTTGCAGTTCTTTCCGCTTCCAGTCGTTCGATTCCTATGACTCCAGACCGTGCCTGCCAGAGCACAATCCCTACCGCCCCAGCTACAGCTATGACTATGACTTTGATCTGGGGCCTGACCGCAATGGTGGCTTTGGCAGTCAGTACAGTGACTGCAGGGACCCTGCCCGTGAGCGCGGCTCCCTCGATGGCTTCATGCGCGGCCGGGGCCAGAGCCGCTTTCAGGATCGGAGCAACCCCAGCACCTTCATGCGAAGCGAGCCCTTCATGCCCCCATCTGCTGCCTCTGAGCCCCTGTCTGCTCCCTGGAGCGAGATGAACTACACGGGTGGCCGGGGCCTGGGAGGCCCCTCCCCTAGCAGGCCCCTGCCTTCCCTCTTCTCCCAGTCCATGGCCCCCAACTATGGCATGATGGGCATGCAGGGGGCGGGCAGTTATGAAAACTCTGTGCCCTACGGATGTGGCCAGTCACAGACCCGGATAAGGGATCGGGTAAGCCCTTGTAAAATTCTAACCTTCATTCTTTACTTTTTTTTTTTTTTTTTAAACAGCTTTATTGAGGTAAAATTCACAGGCTAAGATTCACTCGTTTTTAAGTGTACAATTCAGTTTTAGTAAAAGTGTACAGAATTGTGCAGCCATTACCACCATCTAATTTTAGAACATTTCCATCAACCCAGAAAGAAACTTCTATTAGCAATCACTCCCTGTTCTCTGCCCAGCCACTGGTAACCATTAACCTACTTTCTGTGTTTCTGGATTTCCCTGTTCTGGACATTTCATATGAATGGAGTTATGTAATATGTAGCCTTATGTGTCTGGCTTCTTTCAGCATAAAATTTGGAGGGAGGAATGATTTTAACTGTGTTATCTTTTTTTGGCGCTCTAAAAAGACCTTATCTGCTTTCATTCTTTGATCTTGACAACCTCTCCATTCTTCATTTCTCTGGGGTATCTTAACAGTCTGAGTAAACAGTACATTGGGATGTGCTTGTGTCTGTAGCCCAGGTGGAGAGGGTTTGATCGCTGTGGCCCAGACAGCATGGGCAGGAAACGGAAGCAGTTGCAAATCTACGATGAGCCAGACAGCAAACAGGCCCGGGCTGACAGCGAAGGAGATTTTTCTGAAAACGGTACATTCTGGGGGCTAGTAGGCCTGGTTGGGTGAAGATGAGTCAGTTGCTTGATGTTCTTCCTGCCTGTCTGTACAATGTGCATGTGGAAACCCAAGGGTACCATGTGTCAGCTGGGCTCCCACAGCCCCCACTGTAGTCATGACAAGCTCGGTCACTCTGGACAGTGAGTTTGGGAGGGTGAAAGAGGAGTGGGCCAATTGCTGAGGGGCTGACTTTCCCTATTCCTTTGTGTCTGGTAGATGATGGAGCTGGTGACTTCCGGTCGGGAGATGAAGAATTCAGGGGTGTAAGTCCATCTTCACTGGTTAATTTTCTTTGTCTCTAGTGCAGGATTTATTCCTTATTTTAGCTTCTTTTTCACAGAGGTGGGAACAACTGCAGTGGTAGACTCATCTATCTCATGAGTGGATTTAATACCCTCACTTGCAGCTAGGTTTTTAAGAGTTTTCTACTTGCAACACTCCTCCCCTTCCTGAAAAAATTCCCAGCCCCTTCTCATCCACTCCTGTGTCCTTTTAGTGATGGGCCTAGCTGCACACATGGTAAGTGCAGTGGCTGTACAGACTGAGGCTTCTAAACATGCACTAAAAACTCATTGGCTGCCAGTTCTGTGCAATATCCATGTCCCTTAGTTCTTCCAACCAGTCATGGGAAACTGCTGTTAAAAGCCAGCCATGCATAAGGATCTGGGGAGCAAGCCTTTGCCACCCTCTGCAAATTCTGGTCCAAGTCTGGGGCAAGGCCTAGAGATCTGGGTGTGTGAAGGCTTTGTCCAGGTGCTTCTGATGGTAAGGTGGTTTAGGGGAAGAGGATACAGTGAACTTTTAGCTTTTCTGAGGGCCCTCACCCTATCTAGCTTGCTTAGACTGAGTCTGAGAATCTCTGTGTATGTACCTGCTGATTGCTAATTTAATCTTCAGCTCAATATTTAAGGAATGGACTGTTTCAATTTTCAGTTAGATGATTTTTACCCGTACTAGTTTGGTAAATATAAACAAATGGCTGGGAAACTTGGTAAAACCCATTTTCAGTAAAGACCGCTGGAACTAGCATCTTACAAATCAGGGATTCTTGACATGCAGTTGATGAATGAGCTCCTGGCATTCCCATATGCAGAGCTGTGCCAGGTGTACATTGCCAGCGGTCATTCTTTAGCTTTAAAAGAGCCGATAAAGGGTCAGTGACTTTAATTCAAAAACAAGTTAGTCATCATTACAGAATTTCAGAAGGCAACCAGGAGTAGTGACAGGACATACTCAGGCTCCATTCCCTGGCCCTGGGCCTTGTCCTGAAATACTGGCTGGGTTCCTGGTGGCACAGTGGCCACAAGGTGGTGGCAGGGAGCCGGGCTGGTGTGGGGATATCTGGAATCTCCAGCTCATTCCCCAACTTCGTGTGTGTCCTTTTTCAGGAGGATGAATTCTTCGATTCTGGAAGGCAGAGAGGTAGGCATCACCTAGTGTTCCTTTGAGCTTTCCTGTGTCTGTCTGACAGTTTTGCACTTACTGCTCCCAGCTTGGCTGGGCTTCTGATCAAGTCGGGCCTGGATGGAGGGGCTGGCCGCTCAGGGTAGAAGAGGGGCTGTGGCCGCTAGGTGGGCCTTGGCCGTGGCACTCACCTTGAGGCTTTGCTCCAGTGTTTGGAGCAGCACTTGGCTTGGAAACAGGTCTTTTGGCCTCACTCAGTGCAGGCTATGGAGAGAAAGGGGGAAACTCATCTCTGGGTATTTGCAACAGGTTACAGTGGTAGGGAAGGGAGTCTCAGAAACATAAGAAAGAAATGAAAGGTGTCCTCCAGCCTGTCTTCTCTGATCCCCCTTGTCCAATGCAGTTCCCTGTACTGTTTCCTCCTGAGCTTCATTTTTTGCATAGTTCCCTCAGTTGCCAGCCCAGGGCTGTGATCTCAGCCTCTATGGTGGGGGTACTGGCAACTGCAGTGCACGTCGCTGTGTGGAATAGAATTCAGACATTGCCTGGGTGGGGAGCTTGGGGCATGGGGGAGGCCTGTCAGGTATACCTGGCCCAGATCCTCCAGAGGCAGTCGTTGCTCAGCAGGTCTCGTCAGTTCCAGTGCCAGAGACCTAAGAATTCAAAGTCAGAGGCAGGAGCAGAGCCATGTTAAACCTCTCGGGGACATGGAGAAATAGAGACACCATGGCTTTGAGCTTACCCAGAAGCCACTTGTTTATTTTCCTGTTTCCATGGGTCCGTCTGTAGCTAGTTTCCCCAAGAATTACTGGCTGGCTCCTTGTGGCTCTGCTCACATAAATTCTGAAGGCCCCTGGCTTAGATTTTTCTTCCCTTAGGTGTTCAGCCTTAGCCAACCCTCTGAAGTCCTCCCACTCTGTTTATTGAAGCAATTGTTCTATAGCATGGGACCATACAGCGTTGAGCAGCTCATGCAGCGGGGAAAATGCTAAAGCAAAGGTGACATGTTTATTGCGCGCAGGTCCTGCTACCTACCCGGAATGACTTTGCTATTAAACAGCAGTAATAGTTTCAGGCAGTGACCTCTTGCCAAAAGTCCCACACGCCCTTTTGAGAGGCTTCTGAGCAGCGCACGCCGGTCGCCATCTTCGTGGGACAGTCTCGTGACTGGCATCAGGGGTAGGGGTTACAGTTCAGATGCTTATCCAACTGTTTCAGTGTCTGGCCCTGGCCCTGAGCCGCGGTGACCCGGCCTGGCCTCATGCTGGGATGCCGGGCTGCACAGCTCTCAGAGGAGCTTTTGCGCTGGCCCCAGGGGACGGACGGAGGACCTATGGGTCTCTTCCCACTTTTCTTTCTAGGACTGCTTCCCGTGTAACCCTGGGAAAGCCCTAGAGTGACAGTTTTTGTGAGTGGAAGATAGAGTTCGGGCCAGCAAGGACTGTCAGACCTGCTGAGGCCCTAGTTCAGAGGAGGCCAACGGGACGGTCATCACAGTTCACCTGGAGGCGGGACGGAGGGCGGTAGAACAGCTTCATTTTCTGAGGCCTTCTAGCTGCTGCCTCATTACCTGGGAAGAACTGCTTCTCTCTCTCTTAACTGTTGTTGGGAGAAGACCCACTCAGGGGACTGGATTGGAAAAGCAGAATAGGGAAGGACAGAGCAGGTGGGCCATAGTGTGAGTGGGACGGGTGGGCCATGTCCCTGGCCCATGTCCCCTTATCAGGCCATGGGGGGAGTGAAGTGTCTTCCCTAGAAACTCCCAAGGGTGCTTATCAAAGGCCCATCATTGTTGGGAGCCTTTGACAGCCCCTTGGATCCTCAGGGTGTCCTGACCCTGTCGCGCGTGGAGGCAGCGGCAGGGTACAGGGTGCGGTGGCCAAGCTGCAGCCCCATCAAGGCCTTGGTGCTCAGTTCCTTTTGGGGGCTCTGCAGAGGGTCTCGAAGGGACTTCTCTGTTGCAGGAGAGAAGGACGATGAGGATGATGAAATGAAGAAAAGAAGGGAAAAGCAAAGGAGGAGAGACAGGATGCGAGATCGAGCAGCTGACAGGTGAGAAGGCAGAAGAGGTTGGCTGGACCTGGGCATTGTCAAGACTCTTCTGAGCTCATCTGCTTTATTCTGGAGTTCAGGGAGAACCTGGTTTGAGCCGACTCCAGGCATCTGGGAGGATATCCTAGTCAGAGCGATAGGAGACAAAACTTGAGAAACACATGGAATCACCTCCTTGCTGGTGGGTCCATGTGGCCCTCATGTGCCCTGCAGAGGTCTCTGTTGCCCTCCTGCAGGCCTGTGGGGAGTTCCTTTGTTCTCTGGCTTGTGTCTCATCTCAGACAAGTGCTCTTCATTCAGCAGAGTTGGCTAAGGAGGTACTCGGGTGCCTTGTCCAAATCCAGACTGGAAGCAATTACATATGTATAGATGTTATCTTTAAGATTGTCTGTATTTCTTTTCCCCTCTTTGATCCCTGCCCACACACACCCACACACACTTCCACCCCTGACCTACGGATGTTGCTATTTCCCCTTAACTGGATCTCTGAAGATGAGGCATCTCTTCCCACATGCTCGGGGTGCTCACCCAGGGCCTGGTGCACCTGGGGTATGGTCCGTGGTTCTACCTGGGGCACGAACTCGGTACCTTCTGCATGTAAAGCAGATGTGCTAACCACTACACTATGGAGCCCTCCCACCCCCACCCTTGCCCCTAAGATTGTCTTTAAATAGAAAAAAACGTACAAAAGCACAAAGCCCAAAGGGTGTTGGTGTGACCACACTGGCTGCCTCTCCCTATTCAGTGATCAAGTGGCTGCTGACTAGAAACATAGACCACCGGTGACTGTGGGAGCATTTGGTTGCCAAGGCCTTAACCACACAGAGCTGTTCCTCTATGCATAGGTTCTCTTTATGACTTGAGGGGTATTCCTTGCCCTTTCGGCTCCCCTGGTGTAGTGGTTTTCTTATTCAAAGAATGTCCAAAAAAAAAGGCTAAAGAGGCAAGAAAGCCAGGAACCGAAAAGTAGTAGCTTCTAAGTCACAGAAATTCATTGAAACTTGTTAAACAGAAGAGTTAAGTGATGGCTAGAATCAATCTATTTTCATGCCACATGGGAGCAGATGTCATTTTTTAACAGAATCTTTAGACTTTGGTCTAGTGACTGAGGTCAGAGAGATTTAGAACCATTATCATAGGGGAGGTAAAAAGGCAGCTGGGATGCATGAGCCCTACATTTTTTCAGTAGCTTCCTGACAGTCCTGCACATAGGGCCTAGGTGAAATTTCTCTTCACTTGTCTGTCAGGAGTGTCTACAGAAGCTTGTGGCGCTTGTCGAGAGATCCAGTGCCAAGCACTAGGAGCTGGCAGAACTCTTAGTTGGCAGAGGAGGAGTCCTGAATGCTGTGGGGCCTGCGCCCTTATCCCAGAAAGTCCAGAGGCTCCTCGGCACAGCCAAGGGAAGCAGCACTCCACTGTGGGGGCCTTTAGGCCACTCTGCTCTCACCTTATAGCGTGATTGCATTCGAAAGCATGTGACAAACTTGTTTTTATCCATAGAATTTAACGTGACCTGTTCACATTGAGTCCCGTAGGAGAATTGATCTTAGGTCATGAGTTTTGAATTGTGTGAGTTCTTTGGGAAATCCTCTGTCATATAAAATGGGGTTGCCTTGCATCATACCAGTAGATGCAAAAGAAACACGTCTGAGAAGCTGTGATGTTGGGTACTGTGCCCCTAGAGCAGTGAGCTGGAGGTTGAGGGAGTTCTGGATAGTCTCCACCTTAGGGTGTTCTGGATAGTCTCCACTTTAGGGTGTTCTCTTGAGGACCTTTGGGCCAGAAACACTGCTATGGTAGTGAATTGCTGCATGAATCATCTTCCTGAAATACTTTGAGGTTGTACGCTCATTCTTAAGGTGGGAAAACGAGATAACTGTTACTCTTGATGCCCCATGAGAAGTCAGAAGTCTTGGTTCAGAAATTACTTTTTTATTTCCGTTTCAGTTCTAACCAGAGATGAACCAGTTACTCCTGCATCACTGCTTATTTTCATCTGTCTTCTCCAGGATTCAGTTTGCTTGTTCTGTGTGCAAGTTTCGTAGCTTTGAAGATGAAGAAATCCAGAAGCATTTGCAAAGTAAATTTCACAAAGAAACATTGCGGTTTATAAGTACCAAGCTACCTGACAAGACGGTGGAATTCCTCCAGGTGAGTCACACTTGGCCTCTGTCACATTGTTTCCAAATGATTCTACAGGTGTCACATCTGTCAAAGAAGAGAAGGGAAATAAGAGGCCCAAACTTGTTCAAGGATTCTATTTCCAGAATAACAGTTTTTCAAGTCCCCATGTCAGAGGGACAATCGAGAGATCCAACCATTGTCGTTCCCACTAGCTGCTCTGATAGCCGTCTTCCCACCCTCAGGGCAGCTGAGACAAGGCTGTCATCACTAGGCCTTGCAGCCACCGTGATGAGCTGCCTCTGGTATAGTTGAGATATACCCACATGTGTTACCCTCTCCTGACTTCATTTGGTGTTGTCTCCCAATCCCTCCAGGAATACATTGTAAACAGGAATAAGAAGATTGAGAAGCGGCGACAGGAACTGATGGAGAAGGAAAGCGCAAAACCAAAACCAGACCCTTTCAAAGGTGAGTTGTGATCCTGGGGTGTGTGCTGTTCCACATGGCGCTAAGGCATGTGACTTCGTATACAGCCAGCGCAGGGCTGCTGAGGATGTGACGTGAAGACCCAGGGAGGGGCAGTTAGAAAAGAGGCCCTTGAGTGTGGCATAATGTAGATCGAAGCTCTATAGGTAACATACCAGAATGATGTAAAGCACTCAAAGTTTTTTTCCTCCTTGGACCAAAGGATGAGAAAAGTTGAAGTAATGAATACAGTAGTGTAGAGGCTGGCTATTCTGACCCCACACTCCTGCTGGAAGGCAGGTGATGTCCGTCTCTGATTCTGTCCTAACTGAATCCCTAGAAGGGTTTGCAGGGAGAAAATGGTGGGTCTTATTGGAGGCTGCATCACTTGCATGCTGTCCCAGTCCCCACATGACTTGAGTTCCATCAACAGGGATTGGCCAGGAGCACTTCTTCAAGAAGATCGAGGCTGCTCACTGCCTGGCTTGTGACATGCTGATCCCTGCACAGCACCAGCTCCTCCAGCGGCATCTGCACTCTGTCGACCACAATCACAACCGCCGGGTGAGTCCCCTCCTGGTGCGGGTTGGCGGGGTGAGCCTTCCTAGGCTGACAGCTGGTGGGATTTAGAACCTTCTGTGTCTTTTGGGGAATGCTAACATCTTTAGGAGCTCTTGCCATATTCCATCAAGTCTGTCATTTCACCAATTGATTGTAACGTGCACCCCCATTTCTATTAAAATGTCAGAAAAGGTATTGCTTAGAATTGATTAAATATAGTAGCTGAGAATATTTTAAGAATATTCCCTGTAAACCACAGTCAATTCGTCATCTGCTGAAAAACTGATTTTTCTATAAGCTGAGGGCCATTCAGAACAGAGTGGCCCAGGGAATCCAGAGTTCAGGACCTATTTGGTCCTTACTAGCTGATGGAGCCTGAGGCTAAAGGTTTAGTTCAAGGTCAGTAAATTTTTCTGTAAAGGGTCAAACTGTAAACATTTTTAGCTTTGCAAGCCAGAAGGTCTCTGTCCAACAAGTCTGCTATTGATGGGCGAAAACAGCCACAGACAACACTAAGTGAATAAATGGGTGTGGCTGCACTTGGCCCACTGGCTGTAGCTTGCTGACCCCTGGTTTAACATCTCTGTCCTTAGTTTACCCAACTATGAAATGGTGGTATCAATACCTGCCTGCTCATCTGCTAGTATTATTAAAGAGTAGCCAAAAGCATACAGTAAACAAGGAATTACTATGTGCATGTCAAGCTCTGCTTTGGAGCATTCACACTTTCGCTATTGAACTAATAAAGTCAGTATAATTCAGTTGAAAAGAAAAAGCTTGCCCTTTTTTCCTACTTAGTCCACAAAGTTTCTAATCTGTAAATACTTTTGTTTCATCCTTGCTTATGTACATGGTACCTGGATATCAGTGGTGTATTGTGCTTTTATCTTTTAAGATTATCAGACTTTTCTGTGCCATTTCATGGTGTCAGTTCTGATATCTCTAATTAGTGCCTTCTTTCTCTCTCTTGGAGTCTGGCACTTGAGGATTTGCCTTTTTGAAGAAAGATGTTAGTCATCTCTGCATATTGCTGATCTCAGCAACTCGCTGTAGCCTGGCTGATGTGTTCTCTTGCTCCTCCAACTTGTGCCATTTTTAAAAGCCCACATTTGGTTTCCTTTGCAGTTGGCTGCTGAACAGTTCAAGAAAACAAGTCTCCATGTGGCTAAGAGTGTTCTGAACAACAGACATATAGTGAAGATGCTGGAAAAATACCTCAAGGTTCGTGTTTAGGAATCTAGTGGACAGGAAAAGCTTTTGAAACAGAGGGTTAACTCCGAGTATGGAATTGTATCTCGAGTGCAGTATTTAACATTTGAGTCTTTTGAAGAAGTGAGAGATCTTGGAATGTGTCATGTTTGGAAATTCCACAACTGGATATCCTGAGACACAGTGCTTGCCTGGGAACTCTAGGATGTGGTTCTGCTTGATTAGTCTGAACAGTGGTGTAGACTCTTACCATGAGAAACCTTATCTAGCCATAAAATACTGAGCAGACGATGAGATGCTTTAAAAAAAACCCCAAGGTAGATAATTGTCTATGAAAGAAGCTAAAAAGAGGTTTTGCTGGCAGAGTCAGCCAACAGTGAAATGGAGGATCGAGACAAAGGGAAGAGCCAGAGGTGCCACAACCACTGAGCCATAGTGACAGGAGCAGAGTAATAAAAATCTCAAAGGGTACCCTGGAGAGAAGTTGTAAGAGTCCCAGGTTCCTCCTTGGAAAGCCCAAATGCTCAGCCCTTTGACTCCAATATTTGAGGCTGGTAGTTAAGCTCCAGCATAGCCTGGCTAGGACCTGTTTGCCCTCTTCTCAGTTATCAGATACTTCAATTTTTGACAGTTCATTCTATCCATTAAAGGTCCTCCATGGCATTTAGTTCAATGTTATTTAATTATAATGTTGATGAAATACCATGGAAACTTAACTCTTGTTTATATCAGTTATCCTGTGGCAAATTGATTTTGTTATATATCGTTTATCCACAACTCCCAGAACTTGTCGATGACATTAAGCGAGGACTTACTGTAACCAATTTAAGAACCATGAGAGATCAGTGTTTTACCTTGTGGCCTAAACAGATTTAAAGTCTTTGGAGTCAGATGTAGACTCAAGGTTCTAATCACCAAATTTTAAAACACATTTCCTAATCTGGTAGTGACAATATTTAGTTTTCTTTTTCTAAAGACAGTTTTAGCATATGCTCCTGAGAAGTTTGGCTTCTGACTTGGGTTTGACTCCTTACTGATGTTTAACAGCTGTGTGATCTCTGGCAAGTTACTGATCTTTGAGTCTCATTTCCTTTTCTGTGGAATAGGGATAAACCCTCATGCCAGGGCTGTGAGCTTAAATGAAGCTAAAATTTAAAATAGTCTTAACTTCATGCTATGAGGCTCTTTTTTATTTTTAATTTGGTTTGGATGATAGGTCTTTTTTAACTTTTCCTCATGGTTATATGCTTGAATAAAAAGAGTAAAATAGTTCTGGTGAAGCTTCTCTGAGATGTCTTTTCTGACTCTAGGCACTGAGAGCCTATAGGATTAACTCACCTGGTGTAGTTAGTGTAAAGTATTTGTCTTGTTGACTGCCCATCATTAAAACAGCTCCCAGCAACCTGGGCCAGTTCCATCTCTTATTTGGACAGTTCTTTAGACTGCTGACCTATGTTTCTTCACCAGGGTGAAGACCCTTTCACCAGTGAAGCCGTTGATCCAGAAATCGAAGGAGATGACAATTTAGGAGGTGAGGATAAGGAAGAGACACCTGAGGAGGTGGCTGCAGAAGTCTTAGCTGAGGTGATTACAGCAGCAGTGAAGGCAGTAGAAGGGGAAGGAGTGCCTGCTCCAGGAAGTAGTGAAATGTTGGCTGAAGGGGAAGGCCCTGTGGACACAGCAGAGGTTCTTAGTCATCCCCATCCTGAACAGCTACTGGAAGCAAAGACACCTCGTGGAATGGCATCTGAGAAAGGTAATGCTGTAGCAGAGGCTGGAGGTGACACCGCCCAGTCGGGAAGTGAGGCTGCTGAGGCTGGAAGTGAAGCTGCCGAGGCTGGAGGTAAAGCTGCCGAGGCCGGAGGTGAAGCTGCCAAGGCCACAACCACTGAGCCATAGTGACAGGAGCAGAGTAATAAAAATCTCAAAGGGTACCCTGGAGAGAAGTTGTAAGAGTCCCAGGTTCCTCCTTGGAAAGCCCAAATGCTCAGCCCTTTGACTCCAATATTTGAGGCTGGTAGTTAAGCTCCAGCATAGCCTGGCTAGGACCTGTTTGCCCTCTTCTCAGTTATCAGATACTTCAATTTTTGACAGTTCATTCTATCCATTAAAGGTCCTCCATGGCATTTAGTTCAATGTTATTTAATTATAATGTTGATGAAATACCATGGAAACTTAACTCTTGTTTATATCAGTTATCCTGTGGCAAATTGATTTTGTTATATATCGTTTATCCACAACTCCCAGAACTTGTCGATGACATTAAGCGAGGACTTACTGTAACCAATTTAAGAACCATGAGAGATCAGTGTTTTACCTTGTGGCCTAAACAGATTTAAAGTCTTTGGAGTCAGATGTAGACTCAAGGTTCTAATCACCAAATTTTAAAACACATTTCCTAATCTGGTAGTGACAATATTTAGTTTTCTTTTTCTAAAGACAGTTTTAGCATATGCTCCTGAGAAGTTTGGCTTCTGACTTGGGTTTGACTCCTTACTGATGTTTAACAGCTGTGTGATCTCTGGCAAGTTACTGATCTTTGAGTCTCATTTCCTTTTCTGTGGAATAGGGATAAACCCTCATGCCAGGGCTGTGAGCTTAAATGAAGCTAAAATTTAAAATAGTCTTAACTTCATGCTATGAGGCTCTTTTTTATTTTTAATTTGGTTTGGATGATAGGTCTTTTTTAACTTTTCCTCATGGTTATATGCTTGAATAAAAAGAGTAAAATAGTTCTGGTGAAGCTTCTCTGAGATGTCTTTTCTGACTCTAGGCACTGAGAGCCTATAGGATTAACTCACCTGGTGTAGTTAGTGTAAAGTATTTGTCTTGTTGACTGCCCATCATTAAAACAGCTCCCAGCAACCTGGGCCAGTTCCATCTCTTATTTGGACAGTTCTTTAGACTGCTGACCTATGTTTCTTCACCAGGGTGAAGACCCTTTCACCAGTGAAGCCGTTGATCCAGAAATCGAAGGAGATGACAATTTAGGAGGTGAGGATAAGGAAGAGACACCTGAGGAGGTGGCTGCAGAAGTCTTAGCTGAGGTGATTACAGCAGCAGTGAAGGCAGTAGAAGGGGAAGGAGCGCCTGCTCCAGGAAGTAGTGAAATGTTGGCTGAAGGGGAAGGCCCTGTGGACACAGCAGAGGTTCTTAGTCATCCCCATCCTGAACAGCTACTGGAAGCAAAGACACCTCGTGGAATGGCATCTGAGAAAGGTAATGCTGTAGCAGAGGCTGGAGGTGACACCGCCCAGTCGGGAAGTGAGGCTGCTGAGGCTGGAAGTGAAGCTGCCGAGGCTGGAGGTAAAGCTGCCGAGGCCGGAGGTGAAGCTGCCAAGGCCGGAGGTGAAGCTGCCGAGGCCGGAGGTGAAGCTGCCGAGACTGGAGGTGAAGCTGCCGAGGCCGGAGGTGAAGCTGCCGAGGCCGGAGGTGAAGCTGCTGAGGCCAGAAGTGTAGCAGAGGCAGAAAGTGCCGTAACAGCCACTGCTCCTGCCCCAGCGGCCATGGAAGCTGAAGTAGAACAGACTGATGTGGAGTCCAAAGATGTTATTCCCATAGAATGATCATCCTCTCCTTGTTTCAAGGGGTGTGTTATATGATGCATTGCCCTTTCTTTGGTTTGTAAACAGTACTAAGGTGTATGTTACTGGAATATTCTGAAAACTTACTTTGGTGAAGAGACCTAGCCATTTATTTCAGAAAAGTGTACCTCACAGGCTTGTCTTATAGAGTTGGGTGGCTTTCTGCTTCGGTTTGAAGGCTGCAGAAGTTGTACATTCCCCCCCAAGCAGCTGTGACCTCTCTGCACTGCAGTTGGAATAATAAAAGTTGGTAATTAGATTTCGATGATACTTTGCTTGTTAAATACAGCTACTGGCTGGATGCCCTTTTTTTATTATTTTGTCTGGGAGCAGCTCATTACTAGGATATATCTTTATAAAGATTTTTTTTAGATTTCAAGAATTTGCTTTGGCATCAGTTTTTGACCCCTGCTTTTGTAGCCCACTGAATGGTGTGTGATCCTCACAAGATGTAGCAGAATCTTGTTAATATGCGATGCTGGTTCTGTCACATCAGTGAACTCTCAAAGGCCTGATGAATCTGACATATCTGCACCGTGGGAAGCACACCCACTTGCCCTTTAGAAATGAGGATACTTTTTGCCTAAGGCATGTTCCCCAATCTTGAGTCCTTGGTGAACCACCTTCACAATTTTTTTTTACCTCATTTGTGTTCCATCTCTGCATTACTTCAGAGTTTTTTCCTTCAAATTGAGTTATTTCCTCTTAAATATATTTAAAAACAAAACTTGATGTCATTCTCATGAGTGGAAAACCAATATAAATTGCCATAGATGCTATCTATAAAAAAATAAATGTAATGAACATTTCATTTTAGATAAATACTGTTCCTTTGGAGGTTTCTGAATCTGTGAAAAAGGAAAGCTAGCATGTGTTAAAGTGTAGCTAGCAACCAGTTATACATTCATATAATCAAAAGAATTGGAAGATCCCTCCCTTTTGAAATGATATTGCTAGGTCTGTTTCCCTGTAGACCTTTGAAATGTCACATTTGGGGAAGCACTGGCCAATGGGAAATGATTTAAAAAGAGGTAGTAAAAATATTTGATGAGCATCTACTATGTACCAGGTACTAATTCATGGGAGCCTTATTGGAGATGTGAGGTCAATATTTATGAAGAAAGTCAATTGTTAGAACTAAAAAATAAACTTCGATAACCAAGAAAGTGGTGCCTCTGAATTGTTTCTGCTCATCATTCCTTAATAGGGCATATGTGTGGCTTAGTCACAGGTTGAACATGCCCTTTAAAGCTTTTTCTCTTGAGTCAAAAATGTTGATGGCCTTGAACGTCAGCAGTCTGAAAAAAGATAACTATGAAATTGCTTTTTGTTGTTTTTCTTGTAAAAGTAATCCAAGGATTGTCATTAAATCTATCTAAATTTCAGGGGAGGTTCTTCCACCCGCCATCTGATGTGAAATGACACAGATCATTTTATTCCTAAAGGTGCGTTGAACCAGGCTATCATTCCCCAAGATGGGGAGTAACTACTTGGGTTGCACAAAGGGATGCCTTTGTGTTTCCTGAGATGACAGGAATAAATTGCAAGCTTCCTCATTGGGAACTAATATCAGTTATTTCCCAATTACAGAGGAGAAACCTAAAGGGGAGGTTGACGAACTTTCAGGGTCACACATCAGAGATGTGGGGATACTCAAATTACACAGGTCTGGGAAATACCAGTGGCCATGAACTTTCCATAGAGCACCTTTATTATTTACAAAACAAGTTTAGCAAACATGCCAATCCCTGCAATTCCCAAGCAAAAACAAAATTTTAAGAATGGCAGCCTAATTCACATAATCATATTGTGGACCTGTGTGATTTCATTGTGTTTTTATGAAAATACAGTTGCTAAGGGGAAACAATACAATCAATGTAATGAGCAAAGTGCTCATTCCAGAGTATATATCATTAGTATTAATAAATCCAAAATTGTACTTTAGACTATAAGTCATTTCTACTGCCTGATAATTTGGCTGAAAATGGTCCTTGCTCACCAGAAGTGTGGCCCATAGTGATTAGACAGGCATAGTAAAGTTCAAGAAGAACTTCAGAGCTAACAAATAGAGCAGACTTTCGACATTTTATTTTTTTACAGTAGCTGCTCTGGAGGGCTTAATAAAAACATGGGCATGGATAAAACCTGTGGGCATGGCTTTGTACTGATTTAACACCGATGGCTCTGATAATTGAGAAAGTATTGGGCCACTTTATCTTATACAAGGACACTGAAGATTAACAGGTTACTTGGTTTTTTGTAATCAGACATAATTTATGTACCTCCTCCAAAATACTGTTTGGTGAGTGTACACTTTGTATAGGTAAGAAGTTAGAATTCAGTCTGAGGGACAATAGATCCACTTTCACAGGGATAGCTGTCAGAATTAAGTGAGATAAACACTTGACACTTGAAAAGGGTTCTCTAAGCTCAACATTTTTTAAAGAGAAATTCACATAAAATGAGCCATTAACCATTTTTAAGTGGACAATGCAGTGACATTTGGTACACTCAATATTCTGCAGCCCCATCACTGGTCCAAGACATTTTCCTCACCATAAAAGGAAACCCTTGCCAATTAGTAATTCCCCATTCCTCTCTTCCACCTCCTGACAAACACTAACCTGCTTTTTGTCTCTAGATTTATTCTGGATATTTCATGTAAAGGGAACAATATAATACATGATCTTTTCAGTCTGGCTTCTTTCACTAGCATAAGTTTTTGAGGTTCCTCCATGTTGTAACCTGTATCAGTACTTCATTCCTTTTTATGGCTGAATAATAATCCCATTGTATGTATATACTACATTTGTTTATTCAGTTATCCAATAATGGACATTTGAGTTGTTTCTGCCTTTTGACTGTTGTAATAGTTCTGCTAGGAACATTCTTGAACAAATATGTGAGTACCTGTTTTCTGTTCTTTGGGGTATATACCTGCAAGTGAAATTATTGGGTCTGATGGTAATTGTTTAAATTTTTGAGGAACCACCAAACTTTTCCACAACCATTTTACATTCCCATCAGTAATGTACAAGGTTTCAATTTCTCCACATCATTACCAACAACTTATTTTCCATTTTTTTGAATCTGGCCATCCTAGTGGGTGTGAAGTGGTATCTCATTGTGGTTTTGATTTGCCTTTCCCTAATGACTAATGATGTTGGCCATCCCTTCAGGTGCTTGTTGGTCATTTGTTTATCTTTGGAGAAATGTCTATTCAAGTTCTTTGCTTTTTAATTGGGTTGTCTTTTTGTTAAGTTGCAGGAGTTCTTTATATTTTAGATTACCAGACACTTATCACATGTGATCTGCAGATTTTCAAAAATGCTGTGGGCTGTTTTCTCTCTTGATAGTACTCTATGATGCAAAAAACATTTGTTTTTGATCAAATCCAGTTTATTTTTTTGTTGCTTGCACTTTTGGTATCATGTAAGAAATCATTGCTAAATCTAAGATCATGAAGATTTACCCCTACTTTTTAAGAGTTTTGTAGTTTTAACTCGTTTAGGTTTATGATCCATTTTGAGTTGATTTTTGTATATAGTATGAGGTAAAGTTCTAACTTGATTCTATTTCACATGAATATCCAGTTATCCCAGCACCATTTGTTAAAGAGACTATTCTTTCCCTGTTGAATAGCTATGGCAGCCTCGTCAAGTCCTTTGGCCACAGCTACATGAGTTTATTTCTGGACTCTCAATTCTGCTCTATTTTATAAATCTGTGGTTATGCCACATTGTAGCTTTGTAGTAAGATTTGGAATTGGGACATGTGAATCCTCCAACTTTGTTCCTCTTTTTCAAGATTGTTTTGGTTATTCTGGACTCCTTGAGTTTTCATATTAATTTTAGGGACAGCTTACCAATTTCTACAAAGAAGTCAGCTGGTATTCAAGTAGGAATTATGTTGAATCTATAGATCAATTTAGAGAATACTGCTATCTTTACAGTATTAAGGTACAGTATTCCAATTCATGACCACAGATGTCTTTCCATTTATTTAGGTCTTTAACTTTTTAAAGCAGTGTTTTATAGTTTTTGGCATTTCTGCTGAAACTTATGTACTTCTATTAAATTTATTCCTAAGTATTTTATTGTTTTGATGCTATTGTAAATGAAATGGTTTTCTTAATTTCATTTTTGGATTGTTCATTTTTAGTGTGTGAAAATACATGATTTTTGTGTGATCTTATATTTTGCAACTTTGCTGAATTTGTTTAATAGGCTGATAGTTTTTTGATGGATTCTTTAGGATTTCCCATATATCAGATCTTGTCATCTGTGAACACAGATTGTTTTACTTCCTTTCCTATATGAATGCCTTTTATATATTTTTCTTGCCTGATTGCTCTGGCTAGAACTTTCAGTACAATGTTGGCTTTTTTGTAACATATCTTTTTAAAGTTATTTATATTCTCAGTAATCTTTCTCCTAATTGTGAATCCATTAAGTTTATGTGGAAGACCATTTGTCGAAGTTCCTGCAGATACTCTAATTCCAGCCAATCCATTTAAGTTGAATTCTTTGAATAAAGAATATAAAGTACATAAAATCTCCTTTGGGGATCTAAATTTATGAGTCACGGGTCAACAAGTTGAGTTTTTAGTGCCTGCAAGGCCCAGGTATTGGGGGTACATGAATCATGTCTTTGCTTAATAACCTGCCCAAAGATACTCAGGACAAATCCTCAACCTGCCCCATAGGAAATGCCCGAGGATTTTAGCTTCTTGGATGCTTAACAAAGATTTGGGAACAGTTCTCTAAATAGGAGTGAAGGTAGCTCACAAAATGCACCACAAATTTTCCTTATTTGCTGCCATGAAATTCTCTCTGAAAGGATTCCTCTTTAGAGATAACCCCCAAGGGCCAGTGACTAACTTCAGGGTAACAGAATGTGTAAATTGTCTACTACAATGGTTCCCATAAGGAAAACTGTAGCCTCCTTAGAAAGACATAAGTCCCTAACTCCTTCCCATCGGAGGACAATGAGAATGACAATACTGATTGTCTCAAATGTACTAAGACCACAACAATTTCCCCCAGTGTTTGAAATACACTTTGTCTACATCGGCAGTGGCAAAACTAGAGGAAGCTAAGGGAATAGTCTCGGAGAAGGAAGATCTTGCTTGTCACTATTCATCAACCCCAATAAAGCTGAAATATGTCTTTCCTAGGGAAAGGGGATATTTGGTCCCAGGATGTATTAGTTATCTATTGTTGCTTAACAAATTATTCCAAAAGTTAGTGGTTTAAAATAAAAACACATTATTTCACAATTTCAGGTGTGGCTTAGCTGGGTCCTTAGTTGGAATTACAAGGCTGTAATCAAAGTATTGGTCAAGGATGTGGTCTCATCTGAAAGCATGACTATGGAAGGATCTACTTTCAACGCTGCTTATGCAGTTGTTGGCAGAACTTAGTTCCTTGCAGCTGTCAGGCTGAGGGCTTCAGCTCCTTGCTGGCTATTCACCAGAAACTGCCCTCGGTTTCTTGCCTTATGAGTCTCTCCTTCACAGCAGCTTGCTTTATTAAAGTGTGCAAGCTGAGAAGGCAGCATCCAGCTAGATTAAAGTCACAGTCTTTTATAACCTAATTAGGAAAGTGACATCACTTTTTCATCAGCAGCAAGACACTAGGTCCAGCCTACATTCAAGGGGAGATTACAGAATGGTTTGAATACCAGAAGGTGGCATTCTTTGGGGGTCATTTTTGAAAGCTGCCTATCACACTATACTAGTATAAATCTAGATATAGATCCTCTTCTTATAAACGTATCAGATTCCAAGAGCCTGTTTAATCAGCCTATTTGTCTTGAAGATGAAAGGGATAACAGATTTGAGCTTTCAATCCTGATATGTATTTAAACCAAGCTTTAAAATGGGCCTACTCACGGGGTCCTTGCTGAAATAAGTTCTGTCAGGCATCCTGTATTGAAACAAGAAACCCTTACCTATTGAGCCAATGCCACAGAATTTTTTAGCAGCTGGAGCAGCCGCACTTGGACCATAGCCACTCACTCTGATGCTGTGATGATTCCCCAAGGCCTTAAACCTATGGGACCATTAGTGGCTCATGACCCTTAGTGGCTCATTTTATCAGCAACACTTTTCACCATGCTTAACCTCTAAGCTTTCAAATCAGCCTTCTGTGAGTCTTAAACTATC